TTGAAGTCCTAAGCCACCTTTATGGTTTCTAAGTGGTACCATCCACAGTAATCTCATTTATCTTTAGGTTATCCATATGGGGCCATCCTCAGCAGCAGCAGCGAGTGGTTTTCAGGTGATGAGAACTCCAACTAGAAGTAAGGCATCAGGATGGATCAGGCAGGTCCAGAGAGCAGAAAGGGTCAGGATCAGTGGTATCTCAGGAGTAGCATGTGTAGTTCGACAGAGAGAGAGAGCTAGAGAGAGAAACACAGATTATGAGGCCGCTGAACCATCCAGATCTGCTTCTTTACCTAAGAAAAAACTATTAACAAAAGGCTTGACTAAACAAATATGTTTCAGCCTAGACTTAGACTGAGACTGTGTCTGAGTCCCGAACACTAATTGGAAGGCTGTTTCATAACTATGCGGCTTTGTAAGAGAAAGCTCTGCCCCCTGCTGTAGCCTTCACTATTCGATTTACCAACAAAGAGCCTGCACCTTTTGATCGAAGTAGGCGTGGCGTAACTCAGAGGCCATCCAGAGATACTATGTAATCAGAAAGCTTACTTCTAGCTGCATGTGGTCCTAGTAGAAGTACTTCTGACTTCTGACAGAATTAAGTAGAAGGAAGTTAATAAGCATCCAGTGTTTAATGTTCTTTACACATTCCTTAACTTTATTAAGCTGGTGTCTCTCATCTGTATTTGCTGAAACATACAACTGTGTGTAATCTGCATAACAGTGGAAGCTAATACCATGTTTATGAATAGTAGAGGGGTAGATGTCAGGTTTTTTAATCAGCAGTTTGAGAACTGCTAGTTTAAAAGATTTAGGTACATAGCCAGTGCTAAGGGAAGAATTTATTATTTTTAGAGATTTGATTGCTTCTGGTAGTATCTGTTTGAAGAAAAGTGTAGGTATCTAGTACACAAGTTGAGTATTTTGATGAGGAAATTACTGAAGTTATTTCGGTCTCTTGAAGGGGAGTAAAACATTCTAATCACTGATCTGATATAGTTATGTTGTTATCCACCTTGATTCTATGGTGTATTAAATAAGTATTAAATAAGAATCTAGGTTTATTTTTGTTATCTTATATTAGGGTGGAGAGATACATTGATCTAGTAGCACTAAGAAATTTTCTATAGCTTAGGAGGCTCTCATTCCATGCTGTTTAAAATACTACCAATTTTGTTTGAGGCCATTTATGTTCTACGAGTGGTCTGATTTAAGGTGCGTGGGTGATCATTATACCAGGGTGCTGGTTTTTTCTCTTAAGTTATTTTTCTATTAAGTGAAGCTACAATATCTATAGTACAACGGAACGTTGAATCTAAGCATTCGGTCGCCTGATCAAGTTCTGTGTGGTCAGACGGTTATCCAGTCAAAGTTGATAACTCTGGGAGATTATTGATAAAACTATGTACGTTAGCCGACGTGAATGTACAGTTGACGTGGTAGCATGGCAAGGTGTGACTAAGACACATTTTTAGTGAGTAGACAATGATCTGAGATAGCTGCAGACAGAGGAAATGTGACTATATTTTTTATATTTAATCTGAATGTTAGTATTAGATCAAGAGTGTGACCACTATTATGAGTGGGTCCTATTATGTTCTGATTAACCCCTACTGAATATAGAATGGACACAACTGCTGTTCTCAGAGGGTCTTCCGGGTTATCGAAATGAATATTAATGTCTCCAACAATTAATCGTTTGTCTAACGAAACAACCAGGTTTGAGATGAAATCGGCAAAATCACAAAGGAGTTCAGAATATGGCCCTGGGGGTCTGTAAATAATAATTAGTGGAATCAACTGGGTAGAATTAGTTTTTATGGCTACAATGTTAGTATAAAGAACTTCAAACGCTTTGAATTTATGACTAAGTTTTTGTGTGACACCTAGATTATCATTATAAATAACTGCGACACCTCCTCCTCTGCCAGTTAGACGGGGCTGATGTATATAACTATATCCGGGAGGACTAGCTTCATTTAATGCTACGTACTCGTTAGGTTTAATCCACGTTTCTGTTAAACACAGTACATTATACTCTAACTTCATTAACAATTGTCATACTCAAACAGATTTGGCCTACTCCTCTTAGTTCCAGTTAAGGGAAATCTTAATGTTGCAGCATACAAAGACATTCTAGACAGCTGTGTGCTTCCAAGTTGTGGCACCAGCATGGGGAAGGCTCACAATATGGGTGTTATGGTCAGATATCCACATACTTTTGGCCATATAGTGTATTATTATTCTCCTTTACTTTGCAACGCAAGTCATAATTCTCTACAGCTTTTTGGACGAAATCTGCAGATTATAATGCCTGTGTTGTAAAGTTTAATTTTTGTAAAATGTTTTTACTTTGTTTTCCCACAATAGGCCACACTGGCTTTAGAGCCACTGACAGAAAACTATGATAGCAGCAGCTCACTACCAACTGCAGACATGAGCACTGATACAGCAGTTTCTGCTCCAGGACTTATATCTGACCAAAACATGCTGCTGCCATCTTCGTCCCACTTTGGTTCAAAAATCAGTGGAAATGAGTCAGATCCTGGAGGCAGTTCCAGGGGCACGCCAATGTGTGTTTTACTTTCTTCTTGAATAATTTGTTGAGCTTGGATAATGTTTGCACTTAAATCACAAACATCTACTTCTGTTTTCTCAATTTAAGTAAATAAATAAGCTTGCCTTTCTTGAATTAAATGGTTGTACTTCTTACATTATTTTTTAGAGGAAAGGACCACTTATACTTTCAAGAGAAAGGAAAACCACATTCTTTTCAATCTAATGCTGAAATAGTTTCAGTAAATAGAAATTTGCAGGAGAAAAGTGTTGAACCAGATGCCCACGTTCCCTCTGCATCAGTGGACCTTCTTTCTGGTAGAGTTCAGAAGCAAGATATTTCTTTCATTACAATCTTTTGCATTTGGATGAAATCACAATTAAAGTGTTTTCTTATTTAATTAATTTAATGACCTCTGTCTTGTTCCCTCCTAGTTCTTCTTGAGCGTGGTAGCAAGCTTAGAAATGCCATGGTGGTTTCTGCATTGCAGTCTGATATTGATTCTGACATGGGTCTACAGGACACTGCCCGGCATCTACCGATAGACAACACTGGAGCCCGTCCTTTACTGTACACCTGCATGTCTACTTTAAAATTTTTAAGTTATGTGGTGCCCTCCAGAATTATTGGCACTCTTCAGGAAATGCAAGCATTAAATAAATAAAGCAATACCTGATCATTTGAGCTCACAAAATACAAAACACAAAACGTTTAAGAAGTTTCAAAATTATTGCCACCCTTACAATGAATATTTTGTGATGCCTACTTTGAAGAGAATAAGCATTGTGTCTTATTTTATAATGCTTAACAAGGTTGGAGATATCTTGGTTCACTCCTCCATGCAATACATTTTGTGTTTCTTTAACCATTTCTTTGTTGATTTGGAAGTATGTTTGACTCATCATCTTGTTCTTTACACGAGCCCCAAAGCATCACTGATCAAGCACCATATTTAACAGTGGATATCTGATGCTTTTCTTTGTACGCAGACCCCTTTTGTGAACAAACATGCTAATGGTGTGCATGACCAAGAAGTTTGATTTTGGTTTCATTTGAGCACAACACACAACGCCAATTCTAATGACACTTGGTAAAATTCAGGCTCTGTATTTTGTGAGATACTCTCCTGCAGGGCTAGTTAGTGTATTTTTTATATCCTTTACCTTCTTTGTACAGGTCAGCAAGCATCAGCTGAAAGTTCTTTGGATGACAAAGGGATTTGTACATGTGTGGAATCTCATATTTATACCAATTCTGACTGAAAGCAAATTAAAAAAAAGAAAAATTAGATTTTCCAAGAATTATAGTTTGTTTCCATTTATTTAAAATATTCATTAGCAATGGTAATAATTATGGCATATATTAATATTGATAGATTAATGTATTCTTAATAGTGTTATTCAGTTGTTTGAACAGAGACTTTAAATAATTGTATTTAATATTTATTTTCTGCAATAATGTTTGCTTTTTTTGGGAAGGGTACCAGTAATTCTGGAGTGCAGTCAAACTGTGTCTACTGTCTGCCAGATTTATGTTTTTTTTTCCTTTTCCCAAGGCCCCCAATTCCATTGTCAGGGCAGCTGATGCAGGACATCCTCCACTCAGATATTCATATTCAGCACTCACCTCAGAGCCCGGGTCTCCTCAGGCCAGACATGCATGACACATCTGTGGAGCAGCTTCTGGGGAGGTAATGAAGATGGCATTTTTTTATTCTATTTAAGGAATATGTGCATGTTTTAGAGCCTAGTTGTCCTGTATTGCATCTGTAGCACATACGCAATTATCATAGGCAATATCAACACTTTTTGTTGTGGTGAGCAAATAATGGAAAACTTGCTTTATAAGCTCGCTTAGAACCTCAAAATCCTCTCTCTGAAATTAGACTAATAGCTTACTTTACACATTTCATTTGTTGGGGAATTAATGAAATACTTTTCAACGATGATTTTCACATAAACATTTTTGACAGCTCCAACAAGTGCCTTTCAGCTTATTATAAGGGAGTTATGAGTCAGTGTGCTTACTGATCACTACAGGGAAACGTGGTTGAGTGACTATACAATGACACATAGGTAGATAGGGGTAGGATTGAAAAATACTGGAGTGATACTTTAAGGTATAATTTGTAATATTTGCGTGAAGATACCTACTTTTTCACAGTTTTGGTTAAGGGTTTGTGGTAAGTCATGTTCAAGTAATATAATTTGATATCATGTGTAAATCTTAAGCTGTGTACACTGTTCAAACATTAGGTACTTTGTAAATTCTTTGTTTTCAGTGTTAATGGGTCCGTGCTTGCCTTATGGGATGGAGAAGGACCTCTTCCAGGCTCTCTCTCTGGTTGCAGCAGTGTACTTATGGACAGTGAGCTCAGTGATCCTCAATATGACCAGAGTCTCCTGGAGAATCTGTTCTACAAGTCTTCAGTAAGTTCTGTGTGGGCAGTGGTAGCTCAGTGGTTAAGGCATTGAGGCTAGTGTCCAAAAGGTTGTGAGTTCAAATCCCAGCACTGCCACGCTGCCTTAAACAAGACCCTTAACCCTCAACTGCTCAGTTGTATCCTGTCTGAATTGTTGGTTGCTTTGGGTAAAAGCGTCAGCCAAATAAATGTAAATGTATGTCTTACGTTTTGGTGTAGTTTTATGCACTATCCATATATTACGAGTTCATTTTAATTTAGGAATGCTTTGTTTTATGTGGGTTTTCTGATTTCAGATGACTGATGGCTGTTTGGGTACAGGGGATGATGAGCATGAGCAGCAAATGAGTTTGGAAAAAAATGCCAGGTAAACATTTAGATGAGCATTCGTACACAGCATCAGTTGGCCAATTGGCAAAATGCTCTGTGGTTAACAAAGGAGCTTTTTGCAAACCTGACATAGTGACAGTCAGAGGAATTTCACTCCAGTCTTTATTAACTGCAGCTTATCCTATTTCCTGTACATCTTTGAAGGCTAGACTTGGGTGTCATGCCACATGGAGGACACAAGAATTCATTCCATGGGCTAAGTGTGGATAGGATTTCACTTCTTGGAAGCATCAATTTAGCTAGAGTTATAGTCATTCAGTTATCAGTCCCCACAGACAATACTTCTAATATACCAAGGAGGCACTCAGGGAAAGGAAGACCACCGCTACCTCTTACTACTAAGAAATGGTATGGCCCAAAGGTCAAAAATGTTTTTAATATCTTACATAGTGTGTAGTGATAGAAATTATTACCTCTGTATACATTAACCAATATTTCATTGTATCTCTTTTCCAGCTCATATTTTGTTGAATATCTCTTTCCATTGCCATCTACTAATAATGATACTGGGAAGGCAATTCCTGTAGAGGTCACACGAGTTGTCTCTAATAAAGTTGTGGGTGGAGGTGAGTGTTTTTTGTATCCATGAGTTATTACCAGAATGGAATGTAAATAATAAAATGGTACAAAAATGAATCATTTTCTTTCTTTTTCAGTGGTGAAATTTCAGCATCAGAGTGTCTTTTCAGTGCGCTTCAGTGGCCCCACTATCAAACAATGGTGGGACACTAACCTTAGCTTTACAGTCTACTTGAGGAAGAGTCATCAAAAGAAAGTAAATATGGCTATCTGTAATCTTTCATTGTTTGTAGAATAAATTATGTCCACTGGTCAAATATAAGGAGTCTCACTTTAATCCCTCTTTCTGCTTTAGCCTGTTCAAATAGGGACAGCTGTATTCCCCTTACGAACTTTGCTTCAGAGTGATCGGCTGAGTATCACCACTTCACTTCCTGTCCAAAGACTTGACGGAGACTTCACCAATCAGGACATAGGGCCTCTCAAGGTAACATACCCTTCAACTATTATAACTTTTGGAGGACCTTTGAAGCATCTGTTCCCAGTGTTGTAAAATTGTAGTTTAATGTTGTAAAATATTTAAATTTTTGATTTTATGATAATTTCAACAGTCACAGCCTGCTCAGCTTTGCACAATTAATCAAGCTTATTTAGAAGATGCCTCTGTGTATCTGTGTATTTAGCTAGCATATATATTTGTTAAACTGTTTGCACTTTATGTAGTCCTGTGTGCAGAACCCATCTATTGTCCTGAAGAGATGATATCACTGTATGTGTGTATATGGATGAATAACAATAGTGAAGTCATTTTTATGCCCCGAAGGTCTCACTTGAACTAGCTGCAAACAAGAAAGACTTCACTTCCAAAAGCAGGTTAGGCAAAATGGCAACAAGTACAGGCACATCTCCACTGAAAGCAGACATCTCTATTGGACAACCAGATGATGGAGACGCTACTGATTTTCCACATGTTACTAACAGTGCTCGCAAGAGAAACACCTCACCCATGGCAGTTCATTCATCCCCAAACATCCTGATGCCTGAGGCCAGGTCTGTTTCACCACAGAGAGCCCAAAACTTTCCCCATAAACCTGCTCAACTCACAGAGGAGGAAGAGAGTCATATTTTATTCCATATCCTGCTCATGGTGCCAGATGGAAAAGATTTCAATTGTGCACCTTTGCAGCCCAATGTCTACTTAAACTGTAAGCTCTTTGGATCCAATGGGACGACTCAGTCTGTGGTCAGCTGGGGTCAGACACACCCAACATTCAGCTTGGTTCAAGTAAGTGCACTGAGGTAGAGTCTGTATTTTGGAAAGAAAATTAGAAAATAAATTTCAAATGTAGATGGTGCACCAGTTTGCTGATGTGTATGCATGTGTCTGTGTGCGTGTGTCTGTGTGCGTGTGTCTGTGTTTTCTGCAGGTGGCACCCGTGCCTCTCTCTTCCAAACTATTAGAGAGGATGAGAAATAATGTGATGGTCATAGAGGTTTGGCTTAGAGCAAGCTCTGCACATAATGATAAACTCCTTGGGCTGGTCAAACTACCTCTACACCAGTTTTATATGTCATTCAGGTTGGTGTCAAATTTATTATGGCATTTAGCTCACAAGTTTACTACAGCATGTGCACCATGTCTGTAGCATATGGGCAATTACTACAGCCCTTGAATTTCAGGACCTTGCCCTGTACTAAGAAAAGAATAGAACACCTATTTACTGAAAACAGCTGTGTACTGGAAGTTCTAGTTGAATTCTGACAATAAATTCAAATATGCAACAATATAACACTAATGAAAAATTACACTGCCTTTCTCTTTATCCAGTCATTTGCTTTTTATATGATGTTTGTTGGGATTTGCTTATGGCGAATTAAAAAGTATCCCCTTTGTAAAGCCTTCATTTGCATAAAGCTACACTGACCATTATAAGAGAAATTCTGTTGATTGATGAACAAAAAACCGCCTTCCTATAGTCAAATGGTAATAATAAGCTGGGCCTACGTGTTAAACCTTCCAGAAAGACATGACCCCAGGCCTGCTTTCATTTTTTTGTTGACCCATGCTTCTAAGATTGGGTGTGCTGAACAATCTTGGGTGTGCTGAACAATGTGCTGATACATACTCTTACCCCCTAACACCCAAGCTCTTTACCAGCAGTCACATCATAATAAAATCCACTTTGTGAAAAAGCCTGTTCACTCCAATGGACGCAGTACACAAAAATGGGATTGCCTTCTTCTATAAAATTCATATCTAGATGAATCCAACAATCTGAGATGCACAGGCCAACAGAAAAAGAGTGCAGACCAGGGTTTACATCTTTCTTGAAAACTCTTATTAATGTTTTGCTATGTCAAGAACAGTTTTCTGCTCATCAACATAATTTCTCTTAACAAGCAACAAACTAGCTGCTTAGCTGTTTAAAGAACCAGTACTTTTCCTCCAGAAGGACATCACACCAGGACCACTCGTCATAGCCTGATTTTGCTCCACCCTATCCCCCTTGAAATTCACAAGATAAAAATCTGATATGACTGCTTTAGGATGAGATAAGAAGAAAGTCATACCAAAGTTTTTCTTTTTGCAGTCCTGTGTTTTAATATGAGCTATGTTTTCTATGTGGATAACAATGACAAATTCTGAAAAAATGCTCCCATCTCTAAAAAGACAAATTATACAGATTTGAAGCTTAATTTACAATTTATTGATTAAAGAATTCATGAAAGCTTTCTATAAAAATATGTTTTTGTTTCACATAAACATTTATTGATGGCCCTAACAACTGCACTTAGGCTTCCATTATAAGTGCGTAGTAAATGATGGGTGAGTTTTTGTTTTCAGTACAGGACATGCTGAACTTCTTGTCCATAATCACATATAATTCAGAGATACCGTTCCTTGAAAGTGGTGGACAAATCATAAATTCCTTAGCTCCAGTGTGTTGCCCAGTCCCATGTTTTGCTTGGCCAGAAATCTAATGGACTAGACTAAAACGTGGTAACTAACATAATGTAATATTGTATGATCAGCTAGTTAGCAAGTTAAGTGCATTAACACTGGGTAAAATCTATGATCATGCAGCATGTGTCAAGGAGTGAGACCGATGTGTACCCATGGCAAAAAAGTTATTGAGAAACAGTTTGGCTATGAAATATGGTGTTCTGTATGAAATGTTGTGTTCTCACATTATACACAAACTATATGAGTCTAGTTAGTGTCTTTATCTGCTTTGTATAATCATGGGAAAAAGAAAGTACACCTTTTTTCAATTCTGTGTTTTATTTATCAGGGCCTTAATAACAATTGCACTGTCCTCACCGACTTCTATAAACAAACAACTAACCTCAGGTGACCAAAAAAAAAAAACAAACCACACAACAGATTTCAATATGTAGCAATTTTTCCCAAAAATAAACCAACATTCAGACACTAGATGGGAAAAAGTAAGTACACCCTTCCTACTTCCAAAATTATTAGGAGGGTAATTAGCAGCCAGGTGTTACTAATGAAATGCACAAGATTACTTAATCATCAAGAAGTGTGACCACCTCTATAAAATCAGAACTTTTGGCAGTTTGATGTTCTGGAGCACAAAGGTGTGTCTACTTCATGCTAAGAAGAAAGGACATCAGCCATGACCTCAGCCATGACCTTTTGTCAGTGTTTCCACATACGTGCATGATCCTGAAAAAAAGATCATATGTTATCTGTGCATGCTAATTAATCCGCCTACTGAAAAACATTCTAACGTCAATCCGAGCACTCCTCAACCGATGTGTGTAGTTCAGTAGACAGTGGGATTCAGAGCAAGTAGCTCAGACTCACACACCATTCAGTTTAAACATAATTACATACCAAATGAAAAATTTTGCGAAAGTCAATACGTTTTTTTTTGTTTTTTTTTTGGTCTATTACTGGTTGTTGAACTGACTTTTCCCCTGGACAACTATGAATTTAAAATTTTTAAAAATCAAAAAATAATTCCCAGATACAAAATCTGCTTGTCCTGGGTGATCAGGAAAGTGATTTGTCCACTCCTAGTGTTTATGTTGAAAAATACTGTAGTTTTCCTTAAAAACTTTTATTCTCAGTCCTTACTTACCTGTTCCCTTCTTCTGTTTGTACTTTTAGTGCTATTTTGTATTACATTTTTTTTTTTTTATCACTGGATCATTTTTTGAAA